TTGCGTTCTTGAACCGAACCGATTTTCCAATTCCTCCAAGGGGATCTATCCGATTCATTTTATCTGTGACCAAAAACCTCTTTAACTTTACCAATTTACACGACCGAGACTAAACCGGTCTTTTCAATTCAGCTAATTGACTAAAATACAATCAAACCGGTTACTTCCGGTTCAGCCATTAGCTATGATCTCCAATATGACATCGTTTAAGTAATCAATCGGACCAGGCAAGCACCAATGCAGACAATCGTTCTGTACCATGGCGTTCTTGTCTTTATCAAACGGCCTAAACTCGCGGTATGGACCGGGGTGACCATCGGGTCGAGTCAGCAACATTCCAGCAAAATCCAAAAGCTTTAGATTCCCGGTCTCCTCACCCATCTCCATAACCACCCTCTCGAACTGACTAATCTCTACATCTCTCAAGATCTTGTTCACAACCTTCATTTCAACCTCTTCTTCGCTCACTGGTTCTGTTCTCTTACAAGTCCCGCCGTTGTGCCATTCTCCATTTTCAAAGTGATCGGGTATCGAAGTGCGGAAAAAGATCATGCCTTTAGTGTTAGATCTTGCTATGAAGTCCATAACATGACGCAATGATGTATTGTAAGCATAGTCGAATCCTAAATACGTCATGTTTGACTCTTCCGGGCAGCCATGGCAGCCGATGAGAGTAGCATTCTCGTGGTAGACTGCGGTTTTCAGGTACCATTCCCCGGAAGAGATGATAGCATAGTCAAGGGTCGGGAAGAGATCAGTCCATGTCTTGTCGAGTTTGTCAAGGTGAAGTTGGACTGCAGCTGATGATACACCGTTTGAGTCTTCAAAAATGGCGGCTTCAACAAGAAAGGGTGACCAAATGTTGGATACTGTCAGGTTATGTGAAGGAAAAAGCCAACGCTTTGATCTATAGTCCTCGTCGTGGTACACTTCAACCGGTTTTTCAACCTGAAACACAGAAAATACAACACTTTTCCTTTACAAGCTTTTTTTTTTCAGTCTGCAAATAGATAGGAAGCAACCGTTGAAAACCTTACTGTAGATAGCATGCAAAGCAAAGACTCGACATGGTTACGCGAAATGGAGTCACCAATTAAAGCCCAAGATTTATTCCTCATAAGTTGAAGAAATCTCTGAGGATCAAAGCGAGGCAAGGAGCAGTCATTAGGCTTCCATTTCCAGTAGAGAAAACCGGAATCAGGCCGGCCATTAGTGATGCAATTCTGGTGACCATCTACGGCTATACCACAAGAGCCGTTTGTGTAGATTGGTCCCAAAGGGTCTTTGATCCATTTCCCAGTGAAGAGATCACACTTCTCCACATCAATATCTGACATAACAAACAGATTCTTATCATTACCATGTAAAGGTTTCAGTAAGAACTAAGAACACAACTACTATGAGAATCATAAAATGTTCACAACTTTTGGATTTAGATAGCTGCAGAAACAATCATAAATATCACTTGAGAGATCAAGATTGAAACAAACGAATCAAAATGTAAAAGCTTGAACAAAATGGTCAAATTAGCAAACTTTCACAGAAGCTCAAATCAAATCATCAAATGATAATTAGCAAGAAATCATACACTAGAGATTACAAAGAGATCATATATAAGCAAGCAGCAGAGCAAGATCCATGAACCTCTTATAAACCCCTAGATCTCAGAAGCGGCTTTTTTTGTCCTAAAAAACAACAAGCTTAACAAATGTAATGGCTTAATCTTACCAACGGGAAGAAGATCCTCGTTATCCGACAAGATAACAGAAGGCGGCGGAAATTGGGAATCGGAGTTTCCGTTCACCGACACTTGAACCGGAGAGAATTGACCAAATCGGAAGACAAAGAAAGCGAGACATGTTATAAGAATACCAGAGATAATTTTGATGAGGAATACATTTTGGTGAACCATTGAGATTGAGTCCCATTTCAGCA